ATGCCACCCAAAGGCCTGGGAAAAGCTCGGCTGCATCTCCTCACTGGGCATAGTCTACGAATCAGAGTGAAGCCGAAGAACATAGCACAAAACTCTGGGGTCAGAGGGGCTGCTTCCTCATGGACAGAGGCCTTGTTTTACAAATGGGAGCGATCGCCCTAGAGGACAAAGGAAGGCCGAATTCCTGCCCTCATGGCCTGGCCAGCCACCCCAAGGCCAATGAAGTCCCAGGTGGTGGAAAGGAATACATGGCTTAGTGGGCAGTGGCGAGACACACAACCACAGAGGCCACCTGGGCACAGGGAACCAGGCCGGTCAGGGAGCGGGCCCATGAAAAGCAGCCTCCACGCCCAGCTGGATGCTCCCACCAAAGACAGAGGTCACAACAGAAATAGGGGCAGGGAGGACAAGTTCATCCTCGGTGTGGGGCTAAAACCAGGGGTGCAGACTCGTGGCGAAAAGGACCTGCTGGACATCAGCATCCGTGGTCACTGGAAGCTGGCCACAAAGAGATGCCAATGCAAAAGAACAAAGCAAACGCAAAGAAAAGAGCAGCTCTGCTCTTGTTTGGGGGAGATGACAAGGGACTGAGGACACATTCACTGAACCGTCCGTGCCACATGCCAGGCAGGCTTGAGGAGGACTAAGGACAGGGCACGGGCGCCGGGCAGAGGTTCCTGCACTGTGCCACTATAGGGGACGCAGAGGGAGAAGACGAAGCTGTTCACAGAGCGAACAAAGGGAAATGAGGCATCAGCAGAGAAGAAAGCGGGGTGGGAGCGAGAGGAGAGGGGGCTGTCAATAAAGAGGGTCCGGGACCACACGCAGGAGCACACCCCACGGAAAGGACCACAGAAGCAAAGGGAGCAAAGACTAAAGCAGAGGAAGGGCAGAGAGCTGAAAGGGGTCAAGGGTCCGGAAAGAAAAGGCCGTGCACTGGGCGCTCAAGACACAGACGGCTGTCAGTCCAGCCACTTCAACAATGAGTGACAGATGGTGACTTTTGCTCAATACTTGAAGGTTGGCAAAGAGCAATTCTGGAAGGGAGGTGCTTTTCTCTCCATTAGACAGATGAGGAAACTGAGGCAGAGAGCAGTTAGGTGTCAGAGGCCCCATGTGATGGCAGATCCAGGGCTCTATGTAAAAGTAATCTGGAATGATGCTAAGAAAGCAAGTATAACATCTGTGCCCTCTGACCGAAAGACACCAAGGAGGGCAGTGACAAAGGGCAAGGTGTCCCAGCCACACTCCTAGGGTAGCAAAGACCGGCAGAAAAAGCAGATGTCCACTGACGGGAGGCGGCACATTCATACAGCGGGAAGGCAATAAAGACTGTGGAACCATTTGGACGGCAGCCACGCAGCCACAGCCACAGAAACGAGGTGTGTAAGGATCATGGCCAGACGTGGCCCCAAGGAAAAGGAGTGAAAATGCGCCTCCTGCCGCACTTGGCAGCGGGAGGGACCATGGAGGCGGACCCTACCGAGGACACCAGCCCTTTGTGGGGATGGTTAGCTTTGCTTAATGCTGGGGACTCGATGAGGGAATGGCTGGAAGGAGGTATTTTGGGAAATGAAGCATCATGAGAGTGAAACAACAAAGAACGGTAAAAAAAAATGCCATGATTTTCAGGAACCTCAGAGAGAAGAGTTTTAGGCCAGTGAAGAAACCAGGTGGCAAAGGGCTTACAAAGTGAGGGGTGAAGGATCAAGTGAAGGCAAGGAGACCCCTTCTAGGGGCCTGGCAGTGAAAGGAGGGGGCCAGAGGCCAGGGGAGGACCTCAGGGCTTTTGTTTGGTTTGAGTACGTTGGAGGTGCAGGGCATTAAGGTGAAAAGAACAGAGAGGGAGCGACTGGCAGGGACGGTGGGCACTACTGTCAAGGGCTGGCCTCGGCAAGGACAAGGCCTCTTCCTCAGAGACAGGACAGGATGGGCAAAGATGTCAAGGTCAGGAAGGGAAGGAAAGGACACTCCCAGGTCGATCCTGCAGGAGGCCAAGAGGCTGAGAATATTCCAGGCCCAGGGGACAGAGGCTATGCTAGAGAACAGAAAAGAGGCCTGTGTGGCTGAATGGGAGAGCAATTGGCAAGGTGGGGTATAAAAAAGAGGGTCCTGCTGTGAAGGCTTAAGGGCTAAAAGGAAGAGTTTAGTGACGGGGAGCCCCTGGAGTTTGAGGGGTCAGGCCCCAGCAGCTAAGAAGAGGATGAGGGTGTGGTAAGAGGCGGCAGGCCGGAGCTCAGGAGGGGAGAAGGGGGCGTGTGGCTGAGAGAAGCTGGGAAGGAAGCCAGCTGGAGCGGAGGACATCAGGCATGAGAACCTAAGCTAACAGGAGGAGGGCAGCAGCCCAGACCACCCAGGCCAGTGGCTCTGCAAGGACAGAGCATCGAGTCTGCCTGGGACACCCAACCTGACGGAGAGGAGGGCCAGAAATCCAGATGGAGGAAGCGTTTCTGAGCCGAGGAGGTAGATGGCTGAACTCTGGTAAGAGCACCAGACTGCACTCTACTCAGCGGAACCAGCTCTCTCCATTAAGGAAGTCTGGCTGTCTTCTGACAGAAGGCAGAGGCTGGAGTGCAGACGGGAGGGGGAAAGCTCACTCCCATATCATCAGAAGCCGATACGAGATGAAAGATGCCATGGAAGACATCTCGTCTGCGGCGGACACTTCCCAGGGGTTCAGCCAACAGCCGAGCATCCTCCAAGGCTGTCTGCCTGCTGTTTTCAGCATCTTCATGGTAGGAAGGTCCTGCAGACCACCTGCTGGGGGTGTTGACCCTGGGATGACTGCCCCCATCTGAGAACACTGCAGGGCCTTCTCAAGGACAATAAGGTCAGTTAAACGATCTGCTCACCATGCACAGAGGACAAAGAAAACAGACGAATACGTCTGGTACAAAGTATGGCACACAACTGGATGGACGACCCATTGAGGGGGGTCTATCTCATCCTGGTCCCAGGTCAATTCTACCAAATGTTTAAAGAACATTTGAGAGGAGGAGGGCAGAGAGCTGCCAGTCAGAGGCAGTGAAAAGGAAATGGTCCTGGGAAGAACAGAGAGATCTCCTTGGTTCTCTGTTCCACTGGAAGAGTTGGGAGATTCTGGGGGGCAAAGTAGCTGTGATGACACCTACGGGAAGGCCAAATGAGATCAGGAGGACATAAAAGAAGACGAGTCCCGCCTCCTTTGCAGAGGCTCTCCCTACTCACCTCCACCTGAGAAAGAACCTGGGAGAGCTTGGAAAAGGGACACCAAACACCCTTTTATGTTCATGTTTTCTCCCCTCCCGTCTTCTGCACAATTTCATTCTATTTCTAGAACATTTATTCCATGACACTAATTCATTTTCTTCCTATTTTTTGTCGATCCCAAGTCGGTCTCAACAATGCTCACTTGAAAGTTTTTCCAAAGCCTGGCAGGGCAAGCCTTCAGGGTTCAGCATTCCAGCTCGGTTCTCCTTCCCCATATAAATCCAAAGATCATCTGATGCATTTCCACCCAGGGACTTGTCGGCATTAGAACTACAACTGCAGAACTACAAGCACAGAATTGAGCCTGTGCTGCCACGGTCCCTACACTGGAGCCTCCTGCGCGCGCAGGCTGTCCCTCTCCGTGGTCAATCCCCGCTCATCAAACCCGATGATGTCCACAGAGCCCTTATCCTCAAGCTCCTCTCCTTTCCTCCTCTGGGTTTTCTACAATTAACTTCACGATGCCTCTCTCCAGGGCAGAAGCCACCTCATCCAATGCCCTCTTCTCTCCCTCTGAGCACAGGAAACCCAAGGACAAGAAGGGATTTGCTCAAGGTCACGCCCGTAGCACGCAGGAGAGATGAGATCCCTACGGTGTCCCCGGAGCCACCAACTGGTGAGGAGGATAGAGCCCAGGTTTCCCTCTTCTCTTCTCCCACATTTACCTCTCTTTGCCTCTTGGCCCTTGCTTCTCTCAGATCCTTCCAGCACATAAGCGTCTCCTGAGAGCCCAAGGACAGGCAGCGTTACACACTCTGAGTCCTCATGTCCCCAATAAAGGCCCTTTCCTGGGGGGGCGTGGAAGGAGAGAAGGCCCCTGCCTTGATTCTCCCAAGCTGATGTTTAAATTGTAGCTGCTTCTTTGACATGCAATTTTCTACGTGTATTTAAAGCAGCCTCTTGTCAGTCTGCCCTGGCTATCCCGGGTCACTAGCTCTGGAGCTTCACTACAGCAGGAGGGAGCACTGAGGAGAACACCAATTTTATCCCAAAGACGATGAGAATCTTTGTGAAATACGAGCCTAACAAAGCCTGCCTTCATTTCACAAGATCAGCCTGATCTCCATGAAGTGCGGATTCCCCCGCCAATCCTCACCGATCACCCCTCTGCTCACTCCCAGAAGTCTTCACGTGCACCAGTGCAGGAGCTGTCACCAGGGCCTTGTCTGCCCCTGCCCCCTCGACTCCTGACCAGCTTCGTCGGGAAGCGGGCCTGAGTCTGTGCCGTCTTCTGCCTTTGGCCAACAGCCACCACAGGGGCCGCCGACAGTGATGGTGACACGGTGGCTTCATAGCTGTGCAGGACCAAGGCGCCCCCAGCTTCGAGGCTGACAAGGGCTGGGATCCCAAGGGAGGAAACAGGTGAGGCTAGCAGGTTCTAGGTCCTTGTGTCCGTTTTACTGTCTAGCAGCAGGCTGCATGCCGCCTTATAGCTACTGCAGCCAATTTCCAGAGGGCCACTCTATGACTGCATGGATCAAACAGTGGCTTGGAACATTTGTGGATCCAAAAAGACGTTCACCACAGAAACACCACGTAAACAAAGGAGCAGCCTGGAACCAAATGTTACGATAGGCGATAGAATAAATTCAAGAAAGCTCTGCCACTCTGCATTCTGTTACCTCAAACTGCCGCCTCCCTACTCCATGTGATGCTTTTGGGCACTGGGGCCAGGGCATACCCCTGACAGAGTGCCCTCCAAAGAGCTCGCTGAGCTCCCTCGCCATTCCCAAGCACAAGAATAGACTCACAGCTTCCTCAAGTGGTGGAGAGAACGGTCATCTTGCTCCAGCCAAGGACCTTTATCAAACTTGACATAGTCGAAATCTTCCAAAACCTAAAAAGAACATCCGACGTTAAACTGGGTTCAACTCACCAAGCGTGTATTAAGAGTCTACTAAGGAGGCACTGGGCCACCCCCAACCCCAGCACACTGCCTGCCTTCGGGCAGCTTCCTTCCAAGCAGCTCAGGAAAGACTTTCTGAGGAGGGGCCCCTGAGCTGGGCCTTGGAGGAAAGGAGGGCCTCATTCAGGAGGGAGGAAACAACCCATAAACCACCAGAAAGCGAGTTTCCCTATTCCAGATAGCTCCCTTATTCATTAGTCTGACAGAATGAGTGGCTAATAGCTTTGTCAGCCCGGGTTATGTCTTCATCTGATGACAAGCCCTACTTGTGTCAGGTCCAAACCCTCTCCTCAGGTCTTGTGCCCACAATCTTCCCCCCAAGAGCAGACGATCCAGGGAAGCACCTCTGATGAAGGGGCCAGCCACGTCAGCCTGGCTGAAGCAGCGAAACCCGGGAGGGAGAGACCATGCACGCAGACGAGGCAGACCCTGTACCACCTTAACCCCAATCCTCTCAGGTCCCACTGGATACAGCCCAGGACCCTGAGGCCTAGATCCTCAGGAGGAGCCGGCCTTCCAGCCTGCTGCTCTCAACCTCCTCCAGCTGAGCCTGGCCAACGGCTCCTGTACTTACTGAAGCCCTAGAAAATTCTTGCCACCAAGGCCCCCGGCCCTGTCCAATGGTTCATTTTTCCAGTAGAAATGACATGAAAGAAGAGGCCTGACCATCTCCTTTGCCCTGCACCCTAAGGACCTTTCCATCTGACCCTCCTGGAGAGCTGGAACTGTCCTGTATTTCCAGTGCTCTGCATACAGTAAGTGCTTACTAAATGCTTCATTCATTCCCATGACTCAGCCCATTTCCCAAGAAGGCAGAGGCCACCGCAAGGCCAGGACTCTCTTCTGCATCCACTCTCTCCTACTTACATTGAGCCAAAGATCAGGACAAAGCCTTCGCCCTCACTCCCACCTCTCCTGCCTCCAGCAAACCCATTTCCCTTTTCCACCGGCTATAAACACACTTGGGTCTCCATCTTCTCACTTTCGGTGCCAAACCTCTGGAAAAAGTAAGATACTTTCCACAGCATTCCTTCTGCATTAGCTCTAGTGCCTTGGGATGCAGCATCTGTCTGCACCTCTCTCCTAAAACTGTGACCTCAAAGGTTACCAGTAACTCCCTGAATGACCAAATCCCAAGGGCACTCTCCAGTCCTCTCTGGAGCATGACCTCTGGACCACGTTCTCCCCACCCGACTCCCCAGAGCGCCCAAGAAGAGGTAGGTAACAGTTTCTCTGGCCTCTACCCCAACTATATTCAGGCTCAGCCCCTCCAGAAAGACACCAAGCAGCAGTAAGTGGACCTCCCGATTCCTTTGTAATAAAAACAAAGCATCAGTTCCCAAATGAACTGGGAATTCTGTACAATGACACAGTTTCGGTCCCCGGTTCCAGTGACGCTGGCCCAGGACCGGCAATCACAAGGTCTAGGCCACTAGCTGAGAGTCTGACCTGGGCCAGGTCATTTACCTCTGGACCTCAGGTTTCTTATCTCCAAAAATAAAGCGAGAGGAATTATCCAATCCAAGCCACCTTGATTAAATACTGGAGATACAATTAATAAAAAGGAAGCCAGTCCCTGCCCTCAAAGAACTCACAATCTAATAGAGCAGAGGGGGCCAAAGGCCAGTTCCCCCCTCTACAGAGGAAGGAATTGGGAGGAGCTCAGTAGTCCACCCCCAGTCCTCTAATCAGAGCCGGGATCAGCCAAGGCTTGGCCTGCCTTTGGGTGGGGAGTTCAGAGGTGACGAGCCTAACCTGGGAGGGGACAGGCACCAGGCAGGGCAGCAAGAGGAGGTGGGGGCGGGGAGAGGAAGGAAGGAAGGGAGGGAGGGAGGGAGGGAGATAGACAGGGACAGGGGGAGAGGGGGGGAGAGAGAGAGACAGAGAGAGAGAGAGGAGAGAGAGTGTTTGAGAGTGAGTGTGTGTGTACACGTGCGTGCCCGTACATGCGCTGGCCCTCCCAACCACTCTGTGAAAGAGGCACTATTTATTATTAGGCCCATTCTGAGGATGAGGAAATGGAATTATCTGACATTCAAGCATTTAAAATGTGAACTCATAATTTAACCACAAAAGGCAAAATTAAAAGTTTTCAAGGATGAGACGGAAAACAAAAACTTGTCCATCTATTTTAACCCTTACCTTGTCCACATCCTTCGCTTCCTTTGCTGTATATTGTAAAATCTCACAATTTTTACTATAAAAAAATAAAATAAAGTAAGTCAAATTCAGTTCAATTCAAATCCTTTCCAATCTCCCACGAACGCTCCCTGATGATGCGTAACCTAACAAGGTTCCCACCGCCAGGAGACTCCCCCTCTTCCTTTGATTCAGGAGTGAGCCCAGTGCCGGGCCCAGACGCCAAGTCCTCCACTCGTCAGAGCAGGAAAGCCGCCCGGACCCTGACAGTGAGCTCTCTCCTCCCTCAACTTCTTTGCTCTGTGTCTAAGCCTAATGGCCCTCTGCTGGTCCTCAGGCTTCCTCTCTGTGACCAGACTCTCCCCTGGCGCCCATCAGTGCCCACTGGCTCCCCATCACCTCCATGCAGATAACCCTAACTGCATGGTCTTCATCTCCCCACTGAATTCCAATCTCACATCCCAACCTGCATATGCCATAGACACCTCAAACTCAGCAGGTCCAAAACCCCCAAATCCTCTCTTCCTCATCACACTGCTCTTTCTGTCAAAGAGAGCGCCCAGGTTCATGACCCAGGAGTCACCCTTCACTGCCAGCTCTGGTCCACGCACCACTTCCCACCCAAATGCGAGTCAGAAGGAGGGGAGTCCCACCTCCCACTCAGTAATCCCGGAGCCCAAGAGCATGCGTGGCAGCCACCTGGAAGAGGGCAGCTCTAGCCTAGCCCCCAGACCCAGAGTTACAGAGGACAGGTGATGGACTCGAAGACCTGAGACTGAATTTCCACCCTGATGCTTGCTCCCTACCGTGAGTCTTTGGACAAGCCCCTCCACACCTTCTCTCTCTGGGCCTCAGTTTGCTTAATTGTCAAATGTGGGGATCACATCAGACAGCCTCTGAGAAGCCATCCTGCTCTAGGTCTCAGACCCAATGAGCTACGTTAGCAAAGGAGACTTCTGTACCAGGAGTTCCCCAGGTTGCTGAAATCCCAGGTTTAAACCCAAAAAACCCCCCCAAATGATCTTTGGAGCAGATATACTAGTATGACGTGTGTGGAATCTTTCAGCACACTTATAGGCAGTGTCTTCTATCTTTAAGGCCCTTCAAGGGACCCAGAACCCCAGCTCAAAATGCCCACAAACTCCCATCTTGGCTTCTTCAAACTAAAATTACTTTTCTCAAGAACCAGCTTTCACGAGAAAAAGATGCATTTGGATATTCGTGGCTGCTACTGCTCTGTCTTATTACCAACACTAACAGTACTACAGAGGACCGCTTTGAAAGCAAACACACACCCAGGGTTTTGGCTGGCCCTCGAAGGCACTACTAGGGCACCAAATGTGTCATCTTGGGAAGAAGATTCTGAGTGCCAAACACTGGATTAAGAACTCAAACCATGTGTATACTGGGAATAAGCTACAGGCACTCCCTAAATCCATTCATTTACTCCCATGTCCTCGACTTCCTCTCCAGCCACATGCAAAGCTCAAAGAACGCTGAGGTTCTTGTCAAACAGTCTTGCCAGGACTTCCCTACATAGGTCTGGTGCCCACACTGGGAGGCCCCAACCCAGGCTATTTTAACAATAACCCTCTTGGGCGTCACACACCAACAGTAATTACCACATACATCGTGGCCACACCTTATTGCAAGGCTGCAAAGCTGCTGGCACCTGGAAGACTGTCAGCCGTGACCTTGTCTGTTAAAGCCATGAACTGGGCGGGATGCAGTGGTCCTCCAGGCCCTAGGGCACATGGCAACCCCTGACCCAAGGTGGAGCTTACAGAGAATCCACCCTTGAAGCCCCACCCCAGAACTTGGCCAGAGCTTATCAAAAGGTCCAAGAACACCAGCAGAGCAACTTGAATGTGTGCACTTAAAATGCCAAGCCAATCAGCCTGGGTTCACACCTTCAGCCCAAAAGAAATTGGGGAGTCCTCCCCAGGGTCATTCAGGCCAACAGACAGAAGGTTACGTGGGACAAAGTTGGGCCTGCCTGCAAGGCTGGCTTAAATAAGAGATGAGGACGCTCTCCAGGGCAGGCGGGTGGCCAGGAGAGTCAAGCTGCTTGACCGACCTCATTTCTGGAAGGAAGGTTTTCTTGTAGGCATCTTCAATGTCCTGCAGGTAGGCGGCTGTGATCTTCTTTTCGTGGGCCTAAACAAACAAAAGTGAGACGTGAGACACGGTGACAGAGGATGAAGCAGGAAAGCCAGTCCATCACCTATCAGCCCAGACACACCAGACTGCTCTAACCCCGCTTGTCCCGGTCACTACGAAGCATATCATGAAGGAAGATGCAAAGAATGTGAGTTCTGAACTAACTGCTTCTCTCCCTCCCTTTGCCCCACCCAGCCACTGTCTGGGTGGCTTGGAATCCGTCTATTACGGCCAGAAGGAACCAGAGAAACACTCTAGCCCCACTTTGCTCCTAAAGTGGGGCAGTGGGCCCTGGGGCCTCCGCCTCTGCCTCCACCTCTGGAGCACTAGCCCTGCCGCCTCTCGGCTCCACATTTAAAGCTGACTAAGAGCCGCTGAAGCTCCTCAGGCCCACTCCCAGCAGGATGCCGGCTGAGCCTTCTCGCTGGCCACACACAGCCCGCTACTACAAATACACAAACACAGGCCAGCGGTCAAGGAATGGTCACAGAAAGTGGGTCAAGTCTCCCCAGAGGACCAATGCATAACTGGGAGCTTGTTTTCTTGCCCAAGGACAAGGCATCCGATAAAGAAAACCTATCACCAACTAGGTGGTGCACGGGTATGTTGGTAAACGACAGAAGGGATGAGGAAAAGAACCATAAAGGAGAGCAAAGAAGCCCACTAAGGTCCTAGCCACTGACTGGCATGGTAAAATCCCAAGTCCTTATGGGGGGCCTGCCTTTAGGGTCAATCCAAAGTACACCTCTGCCACGTCGAGTGGAAAGGAGGGACATGGAGCCCCAAAGACGGATGCTGCTCGTGGCTTTCGGCCAGAGCTCCCCTGAGGCCCAGACAGCCCTTCCCAGAATCTGGAAGGCTGCTAGACTACCTGTTACGTCTGCATTCCAAGAGAAGGGAAAGGGAACAGATGCTCGGCCACCTCACGGACCAGGACATAGGACCCACTAGCAGGAGGAAGAGAGGAGAAAACTACGAAAACGATGATGTAACTGTCCCTCCTAGCTCTCCACAAGACGGCCATCTCTCCAAGTTTAACCTCTCTGGGCCTCAGTCCTTTGAGATAAAATGAGAGGGTGGGAACAGAAGATCTCTGCTGATTCTCCTAAGTCTAATATCCTGGGATTCCTTAGAAATAAAAGGATGAGGGACCACCCACCTATCCTCTTCTAAGGTGCCACGCCCTAAGGGACTTCAGTGAAATAAGCTCAAAGCCCACCCAGCCCCATACGCGACCCCTGCCCCCATGTCACGAAGACAACTCCCAGCACCTTCCCCTAGGAGGGATCCCCTCCCCCAGTGCCGGTGGCTGTTTCTCTAGCCCCCTTGTGCCAAGTGGACACTTCTCAAGAGTGGGCATGAGTGTGTGTAAAAGAACACGATGGTGCTAAAAGGATTTCCAAATGGTGAGGGACGGACACAAAATAAGATGGGCCTTGGACAGAAAGGTTGGATTACATTTCCTTTCTCCTGAATCTTCTTCAGGATCTCGGGAACAGGTGCATCAACATATATAACCAGGTGAGGAGGCAAATACTGCGGGGCGGTGAGACGTTTGATCTCCTCGTAGTGCTCCACGCCTGGAGAAAGGGGAAAAACAGTCAGCCTAAGAGGACACCCGGCCAGCACAGGCAGCTGGGAACACACAAAGGAGATCTAAGTCACGTCCCCACCTACCAAATGTCCTCACAGGTTAGTAGACTTCAGTCCATGTACTCTTTTGGTCAAGCAAACATATAGTAACTCAAACAGCTTTTTCCTAAAAAGGAAAGGAAATTAGGCTCCCCTGAATTACATAGGGGTGCTTTATGACAAGCACTCAAATACATGCCTCAGAAGCAAACATTTTGTGTTTCCATTCTGGTTGTTGTTTTTTTTTAATTCACTTGAAAGGCACACTTAACTCTAGAGCTCTGGTTCACAGCCTTCGGCCACAACTCACAGGAGGCAGAATTCTGGGAAAAAGACAAGGCAAATCGTTCAGCCTCTTGGGGCCTCAGTCTCCTCCTCTGTAAAATGAGGTGGTCACACTGAAGTCCAATGAAGAGGCCTGGCCCAGGGATCAGGCCCGATCAGCTTCAAATCCTGCTTCCGGTTTCCGTGACTCTCAGAGGCTCAGGTTCTCACGTACAAAAAGCTGATGACCCAATTTCACAGGGTTGTTATAAGGCCGCACAGGACTTAGAGAGCTTTCAAGGCCTTGAGCAGTGGTGGGATACCTGGGGCCTCAAGGCCACACGTGGCCTTCTAGGTCCTTGGTTGCGGCCTTTTGATTGAGTCCAAGTTTTACAGAACAAATCCTTTTATTAAGGGCACAGAGACAACCAAGAAGTAAAACTGCTCAGAAGTCTGGATTCAGTCAAAGGGCCACACTTGAGGACCTAGAGGGCCACATGTGGCCTCGAAGCCACAGGTTCCCCACCTTGGAGCTGGAGAAAGATCAGCTGGGATGGTTGCGCAGATCCCAGCACTGGCATGGAAAGGTGGCAGGCACAGCTCTTCATTCCGTGGCCTGTGACCACGGGCCAACACCAAAGGGCTGTTTCAGGCTCACAGAAAATGGCCTTCCCCAGTCACAAAGAGGAGCTGAGTCTTCAGACATGATGACAAGATCCTACCCCCAAGCAAGGAGGGAGAGGGGCAGCCCTGCCACAGGAGAAGGAAAGCGGGCAGAGATTTTACTCTCGTGGGGTGGGCACCAAGAGAGGAAAAGGAAAACTCTCAAGCCGTTTCTACAAAAACAAAAATGGCATGCCCCTGCCGCCCTCTGGGAGCTGACACTGGACTAGGGGGGTAACAGCAGGGGTGGGAATAGAACATGGCCATGACCAGGGCAGGGAGCCAAGGGAGCGAAGGAGGCGCCCGGAGGCAGAAGGCAGAACTTTGAGCCTGGAAGGAGAAGCAGGATCCAGGAAGGCGGGAATAACAACGAGGAGAAAAGGCCTCCCCGGGCCAGGGAAGAGTGCACGATAAGGCGGAGAGGAGCTCTCGGCCGGCGCAGACGCCCCATCGGGGCTCTTGGGACTCCGCCAGCCTGCCCAGGCCCCAACTCACAGCCTGGTCTCCTCCAACCCCCAAAGCACCCCAGCTCTACCCTGCTTCACTCCTGACAAAAGAAACACAGAACAAAGCACCCCAAAGCGGTAGAAGGACAGCTGCTACTAAACCGAGCCCTTCCACATAAACCTGAGAGCGCGAGGCTCCAGTCTAGGGGTTCCTGACGTTCTGGGGCTGCTGGGCTGCTGAAGCGGAAGGACCCAAGCCCCTTCAAACAACAACTTGTGCCTAAAGACATCCCGGCACCGGGGACGCCGCCGGCAACAAGAAAGAAACAGGAGACAGAAGCACTGGAGAGGGCACAGACACCCGAGAGGTCAAACCGCTCAGAGCGCCTGATCCCAAAGCTCCTGCAACGATTCTGCCGCTGGGCCTCTCCCAGAGGACGCTGCGAGCGTGCCCACGGGGCTGTGGGGACAAGGAAGGTTCCAATGGCGGGGCCGACTTACACTGTTTTCGGATGAATCCTTGCTTGAACATGGCCTCCATGAAGACAAAGTCGCTGAAGATGGAGCGCTCCAGAACTACGCCTTGTCCTGTCATCACAATGAGAGTAGCGCTGTTAGGGTCACTGACCGAGGACAGCCAGCGAGGGTCCCCAGCCACCCCGGCAGGATAACTTCAGCCGCCTTGGACAGCCCGACTAGGAGCCCAGAGAAGGGGCTCTGAATCCTGGCTCTGACGCCCCAGCTGGCTCGCTCCAGTTTCTTGGTCAGTAAAATGGCAGCAATGACTCTCACCCTAACCCAACCTCCCTCAAAGGGTTGGGTGCAGAAAAAAGGGGGAGGGCTTTGTCAGCCCAAAAACACCACATACACAAGAAGGGCCCAGCTGGCTTCAGACCCATGATTTTACCAGGGGAGGAAATGCCTCCCACTAGTGCAGCTCAGCACCTTCTCTGCAACCTTAAGAGTTTCGGGGAAGGGGGTAAGGGTGGCGGGGTTTGCAATGACAGGCCCAGGGTCATACAGGCAGGACTTGGACCCAAGTCAGCCTGGCTCAGAGGCCCTGTGCAACCCTTAAGCCACAGAGCCCCTCTCAACTATAATTACAGTGGGTTTAAAAGAATGACCTCCCCTCGGCCGCTCAGAAGAGCAGTATACAAGGCTGACCCTCTGACTCTAGCATTCACCAACATGGTGACTGTCCCCAGTAACCACCCAGCTGTCACTAAAGGAGGGGAACCATGCCCACCTGCCCAGGCCCCAACTCACAGCCTGACACAACGGTAGGAGGGGATTTACAAAATGAAGTGTCCTTCCAGATAAAAAGAAGCAGGGCTGCTCCCAGGATCCCCAGGACCTCCCTCCTAGCCCACCCAGCGAGGCCCCAGATGCAGGCCTCACACAGCAGGTCTACAGCCCCGGAAGCCACCCCTCTGGCCTTCTCTATGGTGCCCGGGGTTCTCCTACCTGTGCTCAGCAGGTGGTCCAGGGCGTCAGAATACTGCAGAAGGCGGTTAGCGTAGAGCCAGGACTGCAGGCGATAAGCATTACCGTCATTACTCCTGGGATCATCATAAAACTTCTCCAAACTGCAGTTGCCGCCCAGCTCTAAACTCAGGATCGTTCCATCGCCTGAGTTCTTCTCGGCATAATGTACGTCGACTTCAGGAAAGTGTTTCAAACCTGGGGATGGAAGAAACGAAGTCACACTTGGCATATCATAGGCTGGCTAAGTTGCGCCTACATGTCCTTTACTTATGGAAAAAAGGACTTGTCAAGAGTCCTGTGAGTTCACCAAATACAGCAACGTTCTTGGCAATGAGACGTGTTACACCTCTAGATCAGCAGTGGAGGACCTTTCCTGCAGACCCAATGATACACGATGCAGGAAAGGATTCTGCTCTCTGGGACAGGGAGGGGAGGGGCTTGGTCCAGACACAGGTAAGTCCTGGGGATTCACTCGTCGATGGGAAAGAATCAGGACGATTCTCCCTAGAAGAAAGGGAGCTCATACCTAGTTTTTCCGCTAAGTGTTTTGCAAGTTCGCTTTTTCCAGAACATATGTTGCCATCCACAGTCACCACTTTGCTTCTCTCAGTGAGTTTCTTGGTGGTTCTCTCCCCAAGTATGTAAGACAAGAGACCATAGCGGCGTTTGCGTTGGGAACCTGTATGAATTCCTGCCTGAAAAAAACAACATCCAACAATAAGAAGACAAATATTCCAGAAAGGAATCTCAAATCGTAACATTCCTCAACTCAGCTTATCGCATTTCAAATCAGCATGTATTAAGCCCCTACTACATACATGGTACTATAAGAGAATGTCCACTACCTTCAGAGAGGTTTTACACTCTAGTGAGTGATCGGACCTATGGGTGTGTGTGCATGCATGCTGTGTGCATAATCCTAACTATAATAGGAATCGATCCATGAAAAGTAGATTAGAGGCAGCAAAGCAAGCCCTTGGTGAGGGCTGAGAGAAAACAGTCTTACTGACTCAGTGGAGGAACTGGCATTGGAGCTGGTCTCTTAAACACAGACAAGAATGCAGCTGGTAAATCGACCGCCAAATATATATTAAGCACTGACTATGTGCCAAGAACTGTGTTCAGCACTAGGGACAGAAAGGAAACTCGAAACATTCCCTGACCCGCACTCAACCTGAGGAGAAAGCATGTATGTAAACTGGTCCACACTGGAGAAGCGGACAGCTACTAAGCTGGGGGGGGGGGGGGGGGTGGCTTGGTGGCACCAGAGTGCACAAAGCACCAGGCCTGGAGTCTGGAAGACCTGAGTTCAAATCCGGCCTCACACCCTTACGAGCTGTGTGACCCTGGGCAAGTCACTTCACCCTCTCTGCCTCAGTTTCCTCACCTGTAAAATGAGCTGGAGAAGGAAACGGTAAACCACTCCGGTATCTCTGCCAAGGAAACCCTCAATGGGGTCACGGAGAATCGAACAAGGCAGAAATGACTGAGGTGGTGGCGTGGGGAAAGACCTCTGGCAAAGCTGCCCCTGGGGGGGTGAGCCCTGAAGGAAGCCAGAGCTTCTCTGGAGCGGAGGGGAGGAGGAAGAATCGTCCAGGGAGGAGAAAGCAGAAGGACACAGAGGTGGAAAAGCACCGGCCCCGAAGTCAGGAGGACCCGAGTTCAAATCCGGCCTCACACCCTTACGAGCTGTGTGACCCTGGGCAAGTCACTTCACCCCAACTGCCTAAAAACTAAAAAAAAAAAAGGCCCACAAAGGCTTGAGCCAGGAGAATGGGTGAACAGCCAAGGGCTCCACGCAGAAGATAAGCCCCCTGAGGGAAGGCCTGGCCTTGGCGTCTAGTCGGGAGCTTCACACACACGAGGTCCCGCACGGACACCTCCGGGACAGGACCGGAGAATCGGAAAGAGGAGGCCTCGGCGGCAAGATCGGGAGCCCTGCCCCGAGGGACCCCCGACCCCCATCGCCCCGCTCCGGCTCCGGGCAGTCGGAGAAACTGAGGCGGGGGCCCAAGGTCACCGGGGCCTCGGCCCGCACCCGCCCACTCACCGCGCGTGGGGCGCCCACGGCCCCGAGCCCGCGCGCCGACACCGACAGGGACACGGCCCAGGCCGCGCGGGGCCTCAGGAGAACGGCAGCCATCGAGTCCTCACGGCCGGAGAGCGACTTGTCCCGGAACAGGCCTCCACTGTCCAGGGAAGGCAGCGACCTCCGCGCCTTCCGGTGTCGCCCGGAAGTGACGTAACGAAAGCGCCGCAGCAGGCGGAGAAACGAAGCGAAGGGAGGGCGGGGCTGGGAGCAGGGCTAAAGAGGGGAGGGGCTAGGAGCACGGTAGAAGGGGAGGGGAGGGGCTAGGAGCAGGGGGCGGGACTGAGAGCGGGGTTGGGGGGGAGAGGAGAGGCTGGGAGCAGGGAAAGGGGAGGGGCTGAGAGCAGGGGGAAGAGGAGAGGGGTGGGGCTGAGAGCAGGGTGAAGAGAGAGGAGGGGCTGAGAGCATGGTGGGGAGGGGAGGGGCGGGGCTGAGAGCAGG